CAGCAGCGGCCGACATCACCGTAGCCGTTGGCTCGGCGTCGGTCTCTCCCGTTGGCCGCCTGAGCGCCGTGGGCGGAAGGCGGCTGGAGGCCCTGTTTTGGAAGGCGACCCGTAGGTGTTTGTCCTTCCTCACAGCTCGAGGTCGATACGGATCCGGCTGCTTCCGCTGTTCCCCCGCACTCGTCGGTTGGGTGCGTCACGGGGGGTTGTTGCGTGTCTTCTTCGTTGTTGTCTCAGTACTCCTAATTTTCTTCAACCAACCGTTTTCGGTCAATACTCAGCAGAAGAAGGACGTACTAGACTATACATGGATGGATGTAGTCTAGTGACGAGACAGGAAGGTTGCTCCATCCAAGTCCACCCGAACATCATCGATATTGACGTTGACGTTTCTTATGGGTGGGCCCGCATCACCACTACGCTGTAGTGAGCCGGTGGTGCAATCAGGACAACAAATTGGCTCTCTCTGTGGTTAGACTACATGCGAACGGGCATTCCCTCTGTGCGTTTCTACGAAATACCTCTTTTTCCAAAAGAGTCAAATATCAAATGGAGTCAACCGCCTGGTTGTTGATCCCTGTTCCTTGTGTATCCTTACTACTGCTAAGGGCGGGGCTTTTCGCCGCTGGAGTTACACCGCTGCCAACCATTCCTCACTCCTCACGCGTACACAGGTAGCCAGTGGGCACGGTTGTACGGGGGCGTTGTGTAACCTCCGGCCAACCAGGGGTTATTACATGGGATAACGTGGGGGGGTTACAGGCCGAGCGAGAATAACGTACCAGGTTATGAAAGCGGTCATGCGCGGATTGGTGTGAATGAAGGAGGAGAAAAGAAAAAAATATGTGTGAGCCTTCGGATTGGTGTGAAGGAGGAGAAAAGAATAAACTATGTGTGAGCCTTCCCCCCCATTGCTACATTGTATTCAACCCTTATTTGTGTAATAATTACGCAATATACCCCGATTGGCTTTACTCTACGTCGAATTGATCGGTGAGGTAACATAACACGGGTTGGATCGAACCAGCAACTTGTGCCTGCACAGTCAAACGGTCGACTGCTGCGGTACATGTTGAAGCCAATGACTTTACACCAAATTCTATGGTTTTATAGCAGGGGCGGAAACAATGGTGGCGACACCACCCACGCGGCTGATAAGAGCACACTTATACTATGCGGTCCCCCCCACGCTAAAAGCAGAAACTCCGAGTAAAGTCCTCCATTACGAATCGTTCAATGGCAAGTTTTTGTTCAGCTAAGTTTTTATGTTCCACAGCAGCAACAACATATTATATATATTATACGAAGTATAGAGTTTTTAACAATGCTGAGCGCGCAATTAATTGTTTTCAGCAGAGATTTTATTATTATGTAATAATACTACATTCGACCACTATTGTTATATATATTTTAAGGAGACAGACGTACGTACGTGTTGTCGTATTGACTTTTACAGGGAGGCAGCGTGTGTAGGTAGTATATCATCGCCTACTCTATCTCTCTTTTTCTCGGTCTTTGCTTTGCCCCCCAATCGTTGCCGTGCGTGTTTCTACGCAACCATATATATATATATATCAAATAGAGAAGGCCCATGTCTACGTTGCTTCCGGCACTACATCATGATCATCAGAAGATAAAGATGGCTCTCGCACATAGATAGGAACTTGGAAGTCAAGAAAAATCCGGCCTTGAAAAAAAGTCAAAATCAAAGGAATTGACGACAAATAAATAATTACAACAACACGTGCGTGCTCAGGCCCGACGTGGTGTTCAGAACAACAAGAACGAACCCGCATTTATTTGTGGTGTAAGAACAGAGCCCCCAAAACGCGACAGCTGCAAGATATAATGAGCACTCACGAAGGGGTGAGGGGCTACTCGCGGGGTGAACGGTGGGCAGTTAGTTGCAGATCAGCGGCGAGGAGGAGGTTCCTTTGAAAATAGTACTGGTGGTGGTGCGGAGATGGGGGGGGTGTAGTGTTTTTATTTTTGCGCGTCCAACGGTAGACTAGACTAGTCAACTAAATATAAAAAAATCGGTCTAACAAATGCCGGCACTCTTGAAGTTTTGTTTTTTTATACATACATGCCGCGAATGTGCGATAAATCGGTGTGTCGTGTACTCTGTGGACACCGGCTGGTACATAGTTTTCGCGGCAAGGCATGGACATTCTCGGGCTTGGACAACCTCGCCTGCAACCAAGCACAGATACAAATTTCCCTCAACTGGGTTTGGACCGGCGTTTCGGAACACTGCCTAACCTTGGAGGTTGGTAAAGGTGCGCCCGACCGGGTTAAGGAGGTTGCACAACGCCTAGGGGTTACATGTCACGCTAATCCCCCCCGTAACCGTGCCCACTGGCCACCTGTATGCATACGTGAACAGCGCCGCGTGAACAGAGCATTGTCCGGCCTGGTCGTCAGCGGCACAGGCTGTATACATACATGTATGTAGACATTCGAAGGCACCAATACAACAACAACAACAACAACAACAACAACAACGGCCAGCAGGAACGACGACCAGCAAGCAACCCGCCAGCAATGACCTATGGGCGCATGAGCTCCACTGCCTACGTCACGCATGAGTTTGGGAACTTGTGGGATAACGTGTTTCGGCTTGATCTTGTGTTGGAAGATGAAGAGCGTGGCGACTTCGCAGCGACTTCGGTACACGTGCACATACTACATATGTGCACTTACTTTGATGAGTTGAAGCAGTCGACGAGTGGACCAAGCACACCGAAAGAGCCAACCTGCAACCGGCGGTGTGGAGGGGTGTAGGGAAGTGACCACGCTACCACCTGCTCTCAGTCTTGGCGACGCCCACCACCTTCCCTTTTCTCCTTCGGAACAAGCTTTCGTAGCGATACGTCGTCCTGTCCACAGCTAGTAGTTGTGGCTGAGGGGGACCCTGCTCTCTGCTGTGGTTGTTAGGATGATCCGAACTGGGGGTAGCTTGTCGCAAGCAAGCGTGTGTTGGATAGGGTGTCGGCAACTCGGCGGGCTCGATCGAGCCAAGGACAAAAACTTGTTGTGATTAGTTGCATCGACATACGCACACACCCGGTCGCCCGGTGGTCTATACTTGTAGTGGGTAACCTCGCAGCCTGCAAGGGGTACTATTAACGACCAGAAATTCACGGAACATTTTACGGAATCACTTGTTCTTGATGAACATACATCGAGGAGGCGTTTTTCCCCGAAAACGTGAAAAGGAGCCGGGATTTTGGGGGGCTTGCTACTTTCACGGATCCGTGTTTTTGACAGAAGCATCGGACAAGCGCACCGCGGGCGCTGTAACATTACTTACTGGGAACGCTACAAAGACGTGCCAGACGCACGTACGTCCAGGTCTGTTGCGGAGATGGACAAGCGGCAGAAAGAAGCGGCGTTCAGTCCGTTCTTGGTCCAAAACTAGACATTGCGTGGTGGTGCTCTCGTATTCAACTGCTGCTTGCTGTTGATGGCGCTGTTTTTTTTTTTCCACAATCACGCTATAGCAAACACGGAAACGGTAGAACGACTTCAGCAGCAGCACCAAGACCTCCAACGCGCTGATTCCTTCGGTTCGGCTGTCTATTTGATGCCATTTCCCGGCGCCGTGCTGCTTCGTCAGTATTGGGTGCTTGGGTGCTGCTCAACAAGGTGTGTGAGAGACGTGTGTCACCTCACCAAAATGCCGTTGGAAAAAATGCCGCGAGCTGATCTTTTTTTGGGGGTCGGACACGTCAACATCAATCCACGGTACCACGCAGCAGAAGAAGAGCAACAGGGCCTCCCTCCGACAGGCGAATTCTTTCGTATTGGTCATCTATGTGATGCTGGCCGTCAGCGCGGCTGCCGCCCTATGATTGTTGAGCTCGCCTACTTTTTTTTCGGTAGGTGGTTATAGATGGGGGTCGCAACCGTGAAAAATGATGAGCTGGCAAACTGAAGAAATCGCAAGCAACACCTAGCTAGCTAGGTTGCGACACTCTTGCTTGGCTGTTGTTGCTGAAAACTGAAAACAGCAGGCCGGGTGGATAGGATCTTTCTAAGTGTGCTGTCCTCTGCGTCGGGTGCTGCTCATTGCACTTTACCGCTGCTCTATGGTGAGCAACACCAAGTCAACCTGTTGTGTGCCGAGCAAAGCGTGTATTCAGGGAAGGAAACGTACTTTTTGCGATGACATCACGAATAATAATAGAACAATCGAAAAAAAGGTCGGGTAATTATTATCTTTCCACCACCGTTCCGTGGAGAATTGCACGACTTTTCTACTGCGTTGATAACGAGCCTACGAGGGCCAGGTCATCATGGGTTCGAGTCCCGACAGAGTGAGTTTTTTCTCGCTAATGAAATCCTGGTCTCCGTTGGAAGCGACGCGCTGCGTTGTTAGTAAACTTGATCGACTTCATAAGTCGCGAGGGAAGGGATTGCTGTACCCTTCTTGCGATAAAAATATCGCAGGCAGGAACCGCAGGAGGAGGTCCAACCCCCCCCCCTTTTGTGGACCCGGTTGGGTCGTATCGCTGGTATTAGAAGTAAGTGGAGGATAGGGGCCAGAGGGGCAGACGACAGAGTCCAATAATGGGATGAAAAAAAAGAACATAAGCCCCGTTGAGGGGGCGATGCCGTATACAACAGGGGTACCTTGTACATCCCTGGAAATCCATTCTACGTTCCACACATGTCACCCGGTATTCCGCTCTACCTCAGTCCATGGGAACATCCCGTGCCAACCTCTTGGCATTGCTACAAGTATATCTATCAGCCTCCCTGCTTGTGACTATGCCATGTCTTCATGATCTTTCAGTAACTAACTCCAAAACACAAGAAAATAAACTCCAAAACACAACTCAAATCTGCGACAATAATAGCCTTCTGGGCTAGACATATATTCCCATCCCCGATCATCCAGGTGTAGTTCTTCGATAATCATAGCGATCCAATGGCCCTCCAGCCTAGAACATCATTCATTGAGAAAACCATATAGGCAAAAATGTAAAACGTTGCCACCCTAGATATTTTTATCAAACACAAATAAATCCATTGTCTACCGTTCTTGTCCCGTACTCATCACGCAATTACGATGAAACTCAAAAACTCCCACGTCGAGGGCCTTTGTGAGAAAGTCGGCATGTTGGTACGCTGACTCCACGTGGAAAATCGAGATCTACTTCCTCCCTACAAGCTCCCTGACAACGTGGTGTTTTACGTCAATCAATGTGCTTGGAATTGCTTTTTTTGCTGATCGGATTCTGCGCCAACTGAATAACCCCCTGGTTATCCTCATACACCGGGATGCACGGCATACATACCCGCATCCGGCAACATTAAACGCCACACCTGCCTCAGGAACAACACCTCCTTTTGCCACTCTAGATATTTTGATCAAACACAAATAAATCCATATCTACCGTTCCTGTCCCGTACTCATCACGCAATTACGATGAAACTCAAAAACTCCCACGAGGAGCGCCTTTCTTTGTGAGAAAGTCGGCATGTTGGTACGCTGACTCCACGTGGAAAATCGAGATCTACTTCCTCCCTACAAGCTCCCTGACAACGTGGTGTTTTACGTCAATCAATGTGCTTGGAATTGCTTTTTTTGCTGATCGGATTCTGCGCCAACTGAATAACCCCCTGGTTATCCTCATACACCGGGATGCACGGCATACATACCCGCATCCGGCAACATTAAACGCCACACCTGCCTCAGGAACAACACCTCCTTTTGCCACTCTAGATATTTTGATCAAACACAAATAAATCCATATCTACCGTTCCTGTCCCGTACTCATCACGCAATTACGATGAAACTCAAAAACTCCCACGAGGAGCGCCTTTCTTTGTGAGAAAGTCGGCATGTTGGTACGCTGACTCCACGTGGAAAATCGAGATCTACTTCCTACAAGCTCCCTGACAAAGTGGTGTTTTACGTCAATCAATGTGCTTGGAATTGCTTTTGCTAATCGGAGTCTGCCCCAACTGAATAGCTCCCTGGTTATCCTCATACACCGGGATGCACGGCATACCCGCATCCGGCAACATTAAACGCCACACCTGCCTCAGGAACAACACCTCCTTCAGCACATCCGCAAGAGAGACATAATCTGCCTCCTCTGTAGTGCTCAACGTCACACACTTCTGCGTCCTCGAGAACCAAGAAATAGACCCTCCACATATCCGTTCCGGTCGCCCCGATGGTCTAGTGGGTAGCCTCGCAGCCTGCTAAGGGCCAGGTCATGGGTCCGAGTCCCGACAGAGTGAGTTTTTTCTCGGTAATTAAATCCTGGCCTCCGTTGGAAGCGACGCGCTGCAAAGCTCGTTGTTAGTAAACTTGATCGACTCCATAAGTCGCGAGGGAAGGGATTGCTGTACCCTTCTCGCGATGAAAATATCGCAGGCAGGAACCGCATGAGGGGGTCCAACCCCCCCCCTCCTATGTGACCCCGGTTGGGTCGTCTAGCTGGTAGAAGTGGAGGATAGGGGCCAGAGGGGGAGTCGACAGAGTCCAATGATGGGAGAAAAACAATAGTATACTTCCTCTGTCACATAAGTAAAGTCCGTTATGATTACACGGCCATTTAGCCGTGTCCGATGTCTTAGGCGATACTTTTTTTGAAATCTTGAGCGTTTTTCGGGTTGAAACCCATATTTCTTTTTTTTTTCTTGCGCATTACCCTGCATGCACTAGCGGCTTACAAAAAAGTAGCCAGGCCAAAAAAGGCCGTATTTTGCCCCTTTCCATGAGGGTGGGGGTGGGGGCACGAAACGAAACATACCAAAAAAAGACAAGAATTATCCCGAACCCTAAACCCAAGGTTACCTCTACTGAACGATCCATTTCGCGTCCTCCTATACAAAAACAAACATAGTAGTGAACCCACACTAAAATGAAGACATTTTAGAGGCCCACACTGCAACCAAGACACGTGGGGGCGCCACACTAAAATCAAGTTACTTGCGGGGCAAAGCCGACAGGCGTAGGGTCCTAACCCTACCCCCCCCTTGTACTCAACGACCCATGTCGCGTCCGCCCAATGTTTTCTGGGGTAATCACTACCAACGCCGTACCGCTCGGCGAGGGGGCCTAGAAAGCCCTTGGGTACCCTTTCTTTGCCCGGCGGAATCGCCAACGCTATCTCCACCGCCATGGCGTACCGACGACCCAACGATACTTCCGCACCCCGCTTACGACGTGGGGGTGTCTGGGCGTCGTCCCCCATGATAGCTACGTCGTTGTAGTGGTAGTGGGTGCTCACACAGCACAAAGCTGCAAATATTCTTTAACATATACTCAAAATGGTTTCAAAATATTCCCAAAATATTCGCAAAATAGTCCCGTATTTGACACACTAATTCTCAGTAATTGTGAGTCGGATTGTTTTTTTTTTAAGTTATGTGCGTAACAAGCGCTTTCCAACAAACCTAACTAGAGCTTCAGGAACACCTTGGCTGGTGAGGAATGTAAATTCCCCCATAACGGACTTTACTTATGTGACAGAGGAAGTATATATATATATATCACCAAACCCCCTGACACAGATCTCCTATCAGCTGCCTTACTCGCGTAGTCTGCATCTGCGAAAACCTGCATGCTCAACCCTTCTACACTGCCCCTCCGAAATGTAATACCCAAGTCACCAGTCCTTACCACATACCCCAAGATACCAAGACCTGCTCTCCACTGGATGTTTTTGGGAGATGCACAATACCTAGCTACCGCTCTTACGGCATTCGCAATGTCTGGCCTCGTTTGCGCTGCAAGCCACATCAACGACCCGATCAGCTCACGAAAAGACCACGACACTGCTTCCTCATCTTGATCAAATTCAGAAAGCTTCATCCCTACCGGAAGAGGTATCTCATTTCCATACCCCACTCCAAACGCCAACCCCAACTCTTCGGCATACGTCTGCTGCGAGATCTTCAATGTTCCTTCCTTCGAATCCCTCTCGTAAAAACACCGTGAATACCATCTCAAGTCCCCAAGATTCTTCACCGGTACCCATGTTGTTGAGATCTCTACCAAACTGGTCACACCTCTCCTCCTCTCCTATCGAAAATATGTCATCTACATGTACCAGTCACTACCACTCTTCCCTCCTCAGTCAACCGAAACGCACACATATCCGCCATGCACTGAATAAAATCCAAACAAATCAAACACTTCCCCAAGTTCGAATGCCATTGTCTCGACGCCTGTTTCAGACCGTACAAACTCTTGTTCAACCTCACGACCTTACGACACAATCTACCACACCCCTCTGGCAGACGCATGAAAACATCCTCATCCAAATCCGACTGTACGAATGCTTGCTTGATGTCAAAATGACGGAGGGAAAGATTTTGCTCACACGCCATCGCAGCTGACAGACGAACACTAGAAACCGCGTAGAAAAGACTGATGCGGATATCTCGGCGTTGAAGGTGAAGCATGGGACGGTAGCTGTAGATCGGGCGGTTAAGGCATGGCAGCTAATAATCTCAAACATACAAGTACCCACGATAGTCCCTGCAATCCTAGCTAATGGTTGCCCCGCTGAACCGTGGCATCAATTATCAACTTTTACCGAGTGCACGCAGAAACGGACAAGTTGGAGTTGCAGGGGCAGTGGTACTCATTGACTCGTTGAAGCAGCAAGTAGGGGAGGAGCCCCGGCGCTATCTCACAAGAGCATCAGTACTTCGCCAGAAACTAGAAGCGTACGGTTAGGTGCATATCGATCATGATGCTAACGTCCACTATGTACGGAACCTTCCGCCCGATTTCCATGTGCAGAGGAGCGTGTTGTTGACGCATTCGGAGGTCAAGACGAAATTGGTAGAGAAGGTGATTCTGACTGCCTGGGCGAAGACGGAGGCCGCTAGGAAGAGGGCGTCGGAGAGCGTGGGGGCGTACGCCCTCGTCACTGGCGGTGACAACCGTGGTGGCGGGGGCGGGAACATGGGGGATAGGGGGAAGGCGATAGGACAAATGAGGACGGCAGCGCGGTAACAGCAGCAACAACTGCAGCAGCCACAGCAGCAGCATCATCAGCCGTACTTCAAGCAGCAGCAACAGGTATACCCGCCGCCGTACCCGCCTCAGATATAATATTGTGACCTCCACAACTCCTCGTCCCACATCAACCAGGAATGTCGCTTGCAGCGAGGTTGGGGAGGTCCCTCTGGCGGCCAAGATGCGAGCTACGGCAGAAGGCACGGGCCCCAGCATGGGGGCCGGGGCTTTTCTGGAGGAGGACGTCATCAGCAGCAGCCGGCAGGAGGAAGATTCGGGGGGCGTGGCGCCGCTTCCGGTGGGAGGGGCAGGGGCCCTTTTCACCAGGGACCGCCGGGCAGCAACCTCCCCGCCTACCCTGTACCTCAGCAGGGCTACGACTACAGCGCCTACCCCCCCCACATTTACCGCCCGCAGGGAAATGAACCTCCCATCGACCCGAATGACCCTCGCAAGCGGTGTGAAAACTGCGGTGAACTCGGCCACAACCACCTGTTCTGCCCTTCGCGTGTTGGATGCCGGAAGGCCAGCTGGCATGCCGGCCGCCAACGCGCCGCCCAGGCCCCCGCCGCCCCGGCCGCCGGCCGGTGGCTACAGCCAGCGGCAGCCGTGGGCCCACTCGTACGGGCAGGCCAACACCGCGCAGCAGTGCGGCGGAGAGGGTCCCCCGGGGGTAGCGCCAGGAGCAGCAGGAGCGACGGCGGCGGCGACGACAGCACCATCTACGGGGGGGCATGCGGTGACGCACGTGACTGGTGTTTATCAACAACCGGTGACGCACGCGAGCGGTGTGTACGAATACCCACCCCAACAGCAGCAGCCGAAGCACCTATCCCCCCCCTTCCACCAGCAGCAGCGATTCCCCGCCCCTGACGCCTCTCCCGCGCCTTCGACCGGAGCACCTTCGTGACGTGGAGAAGGTTGATATCAACAACGGTGGTGGGTTTCCCCACCGAAAAAGGTCGCTTGCCCGGGGCCATGACGGGAACGGCGAAGGCAACATCATCGAAGACATTCACAAACCCAGACTCCAACATCAAGTCTAAAAACTCATAGGGGTCTTCTGATTCCTCGCTTTGTTCCATGAGGTACACAACCCACTCGTAATCTCCCTGCTCTGTATACGGAATGCACCCACGGTCATCATCATCATCACTCTCCTGAAAAATGGAGACGTCGGGCGAGGGCAGCCCGGGAACAGCCACCAACTCCATTCCATGCGGCACTTGAGGAGCGGAAGGAAAACCACACTCCTGTCAGCGGGGAAGGGGCGTATATTGCCGGAGGAACGACGCTGCTCACAGCAGGCAGGAAACCGGGCACAGTAGAGGGCACGACGCTGCTCGCAGCGGGCGGGAAACCGGGCACAGTAGAATAAACTACGCTGTTTGCAGCGGGCGGGAAACCTTACACCGTGGAAGGTACTACGCCGGCGTCGGCGGGCGAGGGGGGGGATTCGGATATCGCCGCCGCACCGACGTTTCTTATTGAGTTTCACCGCCTCTCTTACCCCCTCACCGTTCGCCCGATCTCCCACTTCACCCGCTGCCATACCCTCACAGGCGCCGCCGGCAATTTCCACTCCACCATTGCCGGCGGCGCCGTCTACCTCAACCACGCCACCGTTCACCACCGCCACGCCGCCTGCCACGCCGTTCATCGCTGCGCCACCGTTCACCACTGCCGCTGCTGCACCGTCAGCAACACCATTCCCCGCCGCCGCACCACCCGGTGCCACGCCATCGACCAACATGCCGCCGCTCACCACGAGGACCATCCATGAATTGGACGTGGGGAGCGAGGACATGGGGGTTTCTGGGCGCACGAGGGCAGCCGCTAAGGACCAGGGGGGGGGCGGGCGTCGTCAATGCCGCCCCTCTCTGCCAGGGCCAATCGGGAGGTGGACTTGGAACGAGAGACGCGGGTGCCAGGGAGGTTGAGGAGCCGGGGGGTGCGTTTCCAGGATGGGGGGGCCGAGCGGTCGCGATTAAGGCCAAATGGGTTTTTGAGTGAAAGGCTGATGAGTATGGATGGCCAACCACGGTGAAATCAAGGCTTGTAGCGAGATGCGATGTGCAGCAAGCGCATGTTGATTGTGGGGAAACGTATGCACCGACTGTGAATTGTGTTCTTACTCTGTTGCCCCAAGGCAACGCTCCTGTTCCAACAAAGACCGAAATTGACTAGCATAGACCATTACCGCCGTCTGCACATCGTCCTCGGGGCTGAACTTCCCCGGTGAATGCAGGGATAGTGGTACCTGCGCTTATACGTATTGCTTCCTTAAGGGGTTGTGACTTCCCTGTTCTTATCCTCCGGTTCAATCTTGACCCTCTGCCAGACCCGCGGGAGGGTGTCGATGAGGCTGACGTCCGCCGGCGATCGGGGCTGGTCTTCGGGTCGCGGGCTTGATTCCGAGCCAGTCGGCCTCTCCAGCCGGGTGTAGCCTCCTTTGGAAGGCATGCCCTCGCTCTGTGCGGCGGGCCGCTCTGCTGCTGCTGCTCCTTCTACTTTGATCTTGACCTGCCCCTTGATAAGGGCGCCGATTAATTTCACCGCTCGTCCGAGAGCTCGAGCTCATCCAGCAGCTGCTCAATGATTTCCGTGTCACTGGTCTCTGGCCGAACCCTTTTGTAGCTAGCCCCACATCGGGATCCCGTATGATATCACGCTAGCGTGTTAGGATAATCCGAACTGGGGGTAGCTTGTCGCAAGACGTGTGTTGAATAGGGTGTCGGCAACTCGGCGGGCTCGCGCCAAGGAGAAAAACTTGTTGTGATTAGTTGCATCCACATATGCACACACAAGCCCTGTTGAGGGGGCGACGCCGTCTACAACAGGGGTACCTTGTACATCCCTGGGAATCCATTCTACGTACCACACATGTCACCCGGCATTCCGCTCTTTACCTCATTCCATGGGAACATCCCGTACCAACCACTTGGCATTGCTACAAGTATATCTATCAGTGGTGGGCCTCTCAACTCTGCTCTATCTAGTCTACTCATTGGCAACAAACAGCAACAGCAACAGCAACACAGGTGCGTGCGCAAAGTCCAAGTGCATCGGGTACACGCAATACACACGCCCGTTGCTGTAGACTACGCCTGAAGGTTGGGAACGCTCCCTGGTGGTAGATATCAGATCACACAGATACCTACACGCAGTGCAGATGGTTGGCACCCGGCGTCCGTACCAACATCAGCTCCAATTCGAACGGGTACAACATGCTCTTGTAAGATGATGCGAGACGAAAGCAAAACCAGCTAGTATGATAGATATACTGCTGTTGTAGTGGTATCCGAATCGAGTGCCGTGGCCGATCATGTTTCGTTTTGAGGGACGCAGAGCACAGCGGCAGTAAATGTACAAGGAAATGTGGTGGACACGGACGGACGGAAGTGCATCAAAGTCGATTTGGGCGGGTCAGGCGGAGGAGGAGGCAACGCTGTGCCAACTATTGCCGGTGGTGATCCCACACCGTGCGATTGCTCCGTGGCGGCGATCTCAAAATATTTATCCTGGACTTCCGTTTTGAGTTAAAACTTGCCGATGATAGCGTGGCAAGTGACAGCGGACGGTCAATTTATGGGTTTCGTTTCGGCGGCATGCCCGTGTCGTGAACGTGCACTCTTTCTTCGTTCACGACGGGCACGCACGCGTTCGGAAGAGGTTTGCGAAGCAGCATTGGCCAAGAAGCGGCAAACAAGATTGTTTGGACGGTTAATTGCCACCAAGCCAGTGGATAAAAGGAACTCAATCATCCCCTGTTGCACCACTCCTGAGCGCAGCAGCAGAAACTGCAGGAATAAGCGAGTACTACTGCACTTCTTGCACAGGAGCAAATGCGAGAAAAAATCTGGCTACAAACCAGAGCCTGCACAGACAAGCGCCGGAAACCGTCAAACAGGCAACGCCACGCACAAACTGAGACAGACAACGCCCAAAAGTTACAGTAGTACTTAATCGATTAGACCGAACAAGATAAACGAAAAAAAACACACCAGGAGTAAGCGAGACCCCCACGAAAAGTTGCAAACAGCAGAAGCCAACTGAAGGTCTGGCACAAATTAGAGGCCATCCTGAACCCCGTCAAGCCACCAAGCATACGGTCGACCCAACCCCGTATTCTCAACAAGGGTGTACACTTGAACGCTGAGAACGAGCGGTTAGGTCGCAGTTTGTTGTCCGAGTCAGGGGCGAGGGCCGAGCACCCGACCGCCCCGTCGATCTTGCTCTCCTCCTTGAAGGTGAAGTTGGCGTGGCACTGGTCCCTCTAGCGTCTGGAACACGATTGATTTGGAGGAAGCCCTTGCCGTTCTTGCAAGCGCAGGGGTACTGCTGTAGTGGAGGTATGTCCCGACGGGTGCACGAGACGGGGGGGTGCCTGTCACCGTTGGTCGTGGTGGTTGTAGGTTCAGCCTGCATGCTGGTCTTTCTTGCCGATCTCGGCTTTGTACAGAGAGCGCGATAGATCGGGCATGAGGGAAACGAAGGGCGTTTCATGAGTGGTCCATCGCATAGCTGTGAGTTGTGTCATTTTGGTGGGCAGCAACAAACAATGAATGCCAACCGAGGACTGTCACACACACGCTCGTCAAGAGATCACTCACAGATGTTTGTTGGGCACAGCGCGTTGGCCTACCCCGAGTACAACACAACATGGCGTTGCTGTGGGTTGTGTCACTTACAAGTAATCAACACACATGCGAACCATCCGTGGGCCAGCCGTTCAACAATAGATTGAATCAAGTGCCGTGACGCATGTTAGTCGCTGCCTTGCTCACAAAATACCGCGAAAGTACAAGGGAGTGCACACCACGTGTGCTCTCGATTCCTATGCACACGTCAGTCAATTCAAATTTTCGTTTTTTCTCGCACCCCTGTGCGTTCGCTCGAACTTTTAACGGTAATGGCAGGACGATCTCGTCCCCACCTCTACTCTCTACTTTCTGGCGTTGCTCTAAAAATGAGGCGGTCCAAATATTACAACGGCAACACACGCATCAACAGGTAAGAAGGAACACAGCAACAAGCATGCATTCACCCAACAGCGGTCGCTTGTCTCTGGAAAAGCCCGGCTCCTTGACACAGAAACACCCGCGGGGCGACGCACACACCTGCTACTGCTGTGAAACATCAACACATGCTCACAGCCTGTTCGGCTGCTGCATGAAACCAGACAAGAAACGGAAGTGCTACTCTCCTCGGAAGAAAGACACACGGAACGAGGCGGACCTGGTACCTCGACATCGAGCACACAAACATTCACCCCACACATACATCACCTTCCCTCCTGCCCCCCCAAAGATGCGAAGAAGAAGTAGAAGCAGCTTTTGTAATGCCCCCGCAGCTCCTTGCTGGTGAAAGCTCCATTCCAATTTCTGGGGAATTTTCCAAGCAAATCGTTCGATGGGATTGCTCGCGAACTCCAGTAACGACAATATCTCGGCAACAACAGCAACACACACAGTTAGTTGTGACGAAGTACAAGAATCAAGGAGGGAGATTCATATGTACGGTGAGAGCTGTGAGCTCCTCCTGCTCAACTCCCGCAGTTGGAGAGTGATGTCTGTGATGGCGCGTACAGCAGTTGGTCGTGAATGGTATTGGGACCAAGATTCATTCTTGGACTTTCGGATCGGACCGCAGCTAGCTGCAGCCTTCGTCAGCACGCCCCCTGCAACAGATCTGTATACGTCGTGCCAACGCGCATGCATGTCGCTGCTCCATGATGCCCTCTACAATACTGCTAGTGTGCAACATCTCAGGTCCGGATTTTGGGAGCCGGAAGGTCTTGCTCGATATTTTGGCCTCCGTGCACCTCGGACTGAGACTGCTGCTGGAAACGCCGATTGCCGCCCTTCACCCACGGCTCTTTCAGTTAAAAAAATGTACAACACAGGCCGTTCTGGACGTCTTCATGGAATACGACCCCCGAAACAAGTCTTCTGCGTGTAAACAACAGTGTGGGCAATATCTCCCGAGCCCCGTATCGTGCTACACGGACTGTGCTCTGCTCTCAGCAAAGCAGAACATGAATTACAGCAGCAGCAGAAGCATCCGCAAATTGCTGTTACACATGTACTTTAGTCCACTCTGAAAATCCGACCAGGGGATGTGTTTGTCTTGTGTCACCGATTGCTTAGCAGCAGGCGGAGGGCGGAAAAAGAGCAAAAAAATCGTTCCCGCATGTGTACCGGCAACAAACAGGATGGGGACTCCATAGGCAGACTCGCCACGCACTGGGGATTTCCTCTGTCCCCGGTGCTTCTAGAGTTGTGTCGCTCAGACTGGGGATTTCCTCTGTCCCCGGTGCTTCTAGAGTTGTGTCGCTCAGTCCTCTGCATCCTCGAGGGCTGCTCTCTGCCATGGTCGCGCATGTTCCAATCTATCCTGTCGGCATGTCTTCATCCCTCCTACTGCTGTAATAATAATCCCTCCGGCGCACTGGTCTGGTGCAGCAGGCACTTGATTCTTCACCATTTGCACACGCTGCGCTGCCCTGATTGCACAGCAAATGGTTGTATCAATTATCTTGCACGTGGGTACATCGTGTGTGAACGTGTGCAGGCCTGGTGATGGACAGCAGGAGCAGTCTACAGCGGCGAGTACAACAGTAGTACAACGCTGAAATTTGAATGTCCACGAATAGTCTAATGATGCGGCGTATCCTGCCGCGGACGCCTCCCAGGAATAATCCTTCACCCGCGGCATCAAGGCTCGTTGTGTGATGTGTAGGGAACACGCCGAAGCCGAACCTTTCGTAAAACGGTGCATGATATGGCTTGTGAGAGAGAGGGCAGCTGGCGGCTGGTCCGCTGGACGTGTACGCGGATTTAGCGTGTCTACCGGCTCACCGGCTCTACTGATGGCAACAGCCCAACGGCCCGCAGGGTCACACCGGCCATCTGGCATCAAATGTCGCACACCCCACCCCGCCTTCAACCTTCTATCTTCTTTCTCCTTTCTCGCACTTCGCGCGATTGCAGACTCGCCGGGCTGGTTAGCCCCGCCTTCATCCTTCCGATCGCCCACCACTGCGCATCAGTTGAGCATTGCGCGAGAGAGCCGGTGCGGGGAGCGTAGGAACTCACACGGTTCAACCTCACCTGCACCAATGGCAGGCTGTGATTGGCTGCACCCGGCTGACGTTGACACTGCTGTATGCATACAATCGCGCCGCACCGCACCTCCGATGAGTCGGCCTCTGTTTCGCGAACCACAGGTGAGCTTCCTCTCCCTTCATCCACCTTTGACTGGATGGATAGATAGGAACGGCGTCCCAGTAGAAAGGCAACTCATGAGGGGAATACCAAGCGGGCCAGTGGAAGCAGGCAACGTCGCGACTAGGCAGGTGCCACCAGACAGTATATATGCTCCGCTTCTACAACTGCTGTGGTAGCTGCTGTTGTATTCCATGTGCATACAACATGTATTCCCGAACGGCCGAACGTAACGGGCTACGCTCCTGTACAGAAGTATCTCTCCTTGGTATTGTGTTTGACATGTATAGTCTACACACCGTGGTATTTTTAATGGCATTTCGAAAAGTCCTGTGTGGCTGGGGGGGCCTCCGGTGTCACCCCGCGGATGGTGCGTCCAGATGTCTATTATAGATGTTTTACGATGTATGCAGACTACTCTGTGAAGTAATTACTTGTACGGAAGGCAACAGAGACGGCATGAAGAAACTCAAGTCTCCATCACCCCAGCACACAAGGAACGAACATCAACAAACAACAATTGTCCATTACTGAAGTGATTCAAACCGCAGTGCAGTAGTAGCACACCTTCAAATAGCACACCCAATCAACTTTTTATGACACAGGTGGCACAAGAGGGCACGCCCCCACTATGATGTACCAGGGTGGGACACGGCGGTGGTGGTAATTTTTTTATTCATCTGTCCTCATGACACAATGGGTCTAAGATGCTAGGAATCCATGGCGTCAGCTGTATGTATTGTCTCTAGAATAAGGATTACGTACAAACACAGACTATATACAATTCGAGATATGAACCACAGCAGTAATCGAAGGCAATAAGTCGAAGTATTACAGCAGTAGCGAGTGGAACTCCAAAAATTTCATCACCGGGGTGTGTTATCTTGGTGTCACGTGCTGTATAGAAGCACGTGCTGAACATGACGGGTGTTATCTACATCGAGCACGGGTAAACACTCGAGGGCTCCTCAGAGCTAACGACTACCTGGCCTATCGCCGTTCCAACAACGATCCCACCAAGGCTACGTGCTGAGGAGAACGCGGTTTCTCAGTGTACATGACGCAGCGGCGAAGAGCTGCCTTTACGAAACGCCTCGCCGATTAGGACGAACACTACACCCTATGATGGGAAAGTGTGGGATTCGTGGATGTTTTGTCGTTGTGTTGTCATTCAAACTAGTCGCGTCGGAAAGACTTCCTTGAGTATCTGTCTGTTTCCGCACCCTCTTGCTTGAGGACCAGTCCCGAGCTTCGAGAGAAAGCCTGGGGGGTGTGGGATCACTTGCTCTCGTGCAGTAGTCTAAACGAATTTCTATCATCACTAGCTACCTCAGCAGAGAAGAAAAGGAGTTAGGCCCCAGCACTCGCGTAGAACCTATCGTAGTTCCTAAACCCAATAGAAAACGACAAGCAGAGGGTGGAAGGTACTTGCATAACTTGACGATGTTTTGCTAAATACAAAGTAGTGCACATTTACACACAGCCTACGCTACCATCAAGCGAAGCCCCACCGTCTCGTGCAGATGGAAGAAGATCTAGCTGCTTCTTTTGTTGCTTCTTCCACGGTCCATGTTGGTGTTGGTGGTGATGCAGAAATGATTCTGAATACCGTCGGGCGAATTGCTGTCTTTCTCCTTCTCGTGAACTTCTAGCCGGTGCAATGAGCTTGAGCCCACACTGAACGTTGTTGTACATTTTTTTTTTGTCGTCGGTGTTTATTGTCTACCTTTCTCTCTCCCTCCCCCCACCCAAGCAACACATCTTAGAGGCCGCTCAAAAATTGCGAGAACAGGACGGGCTACACCAACACGGGCGGCAACAACGAACCAGAGTTGGGTCTCGCTTCTACTGCGGGCACTGCTGTCGTCAATCGCTGTAAGACGGATACCAGCGCTGCACCTATTTTCGAAGGAGTGGCCTCAGAACCGCGCTCTGCCTTGGACGTTTGTAGCAGCGCCAGCAGAAGCAACAACAGCAGTAACAGCAGGAGTAACAGCAGCAGCAGCATCAGCGGCATCAGCAGCATCAGCGGCTTCAGCAGGAGCAACGGTAGCAGCATCAGCAACAGCGACAGCAGTAGCAACAGCGGCAACAACAACAGCAGGGCCATGAACGTCAACAACAACAGCAGCAGCAGCAGCAGCAGCAGCAGCAGCAGCAGCAGCAGCAGCGACAGCAGTGTGCTTCCACCAGAAATGCACACTCCGCGAGCGCTACACGAGCGGCACCAGGAGCAGGACGAGTCGGCGGCGGCCTCAGGCTTCGCTCCTCGGACGCCGTCCATTCTGGTGGTCGACGATAGTCGAATCTCGCGCCAGATCGCAGAGCGCAGTCTGTCTAGGGCAAAGTTATACGTGGAGGTGAGAGAGGAGGGGGGGTGGGGGGCGAAAAGCTCGATGAACACACCCGCATCACGTGTGGAATATGAAACAACAAGCCACGTTCTGCGACCATTATCATTGTACCGGGGAGATGGTCCTTGCTGGTTTCAATATATAGTTTGTTTTTAAGTACACCCCGGTACGGAGTCTTGAGGTGCGTCGCGGTGTATTGGCCAGCGGCACGATGTTGGAATTTGCCGCCAAGCAATAAGGCAAGTTTTGTTTTGTCGTAGGAATTCGTCGAATTCATCTGTCATCACGGAATCCGGCTCATTTGCCGGGCCCCCTTTACGAGAAAACACTGAGGCACGGACCGCAGAGGTCGGTTTTCAGGCCGGCCTTTGACGTAGGGCCAGCAACAGCAGTGTTATGCATAGATATACACATCCTGTCTGCATTTTCCGTGTTAAGTGGAGTACAGCTTCTGACCAGTCCATTCACATCCACAGGCAAAAAAACGACCCCCCTCCCCCCCCCCCCC